GTGTGTGTGTGTGTGTGTGTGTGTGTGTGTGTGTGTGTGTGTGTGTGCTTTTTGCTTATGAACACGAGCCCCTGTGGCGTTGTTGCCTGCAAGCTTGCTCATGTGTAGTTGTCTGTGTACTCTGCTGCTATATGTTCATTAATGGAAACTGCCACCAGCTAAATATTGCTAAAACATGGCGGTCTATTCGGAGAGTTTACTTTAGCAGCCACTAAAGGAAGGGGACCCGTTGTCACAGAAAGAACTATTATATCATAAAGAGGGATATAGATGAGAAAATGAAACCGCAGGATGATTTAATATGATAGAGGGGTATTTTTCCTCATTTTCTCTCTGAAGAGAAAGGTCATGGCCTGTTACATAAGAAGCTACGGTTAAGTTTTTAGGAAGGCAGATATTTCCTGGTAACACGTTTTATTTCTAGTGTGTAGCAGCCACATTGTCACGTTTGTCATATCGGAGTAACTTTAATGAAAGGTTTCCCACTCGTATGTTTCGTTCAGCACTAGATGTCGTTCACTAGCGATACCAGACAATCGGAGATCTCCGTCTACTGTATGTTTGGGGATTTCTAAACAGGGCAGTACAGGAGTGCACCGTGGGAATACAGCGCTGTTATTGGTAGACGGAGGGAGCCGGAGATTCTGGAAGTTATGAAACCTGCAACCGCGACTCACATCCCATTCAACAAATCCTGCCGCCACACCAGACGTGGGAAACCTTCCCGTCGATAAATCTAATATGACGTGAACATGAAATAAGTTGGATCCCTGTCCCGTCTGTTTGCAAGTGCAAACATGTGAGCGAGATACAACTGATACAACTGACAACTAAGGAACAGGTTTCAATGTTGCCTAAATTAAAACTTGTTGATGTCACCCAAGTAATTCTTTTTCACTGCAACTCCTCCAACAATTACTGGCAAATTATCATGGTTCAGTATTAACGCTGGAGGACTGTAATAACGGGGCATCAACACAGATGATTGAACTCGGAGAAGTGAGCAGTAACCCTTTTAATTTGATTTGCTTATATAAGAGGATGCTAACTTTGTCACAACTGAGGCTCTGTGTTAGTGTGTGTGTTTACATGTTCCTCTTGCTTTAGTGCACTTTGGGTGTATAGAAGTCTGTTTTGTATGTAGAGGGAGGAAACCGCTGAAATCTGTTTTTGAGTCAGTTTCCCCATAGTAAGCACGTAATTCCTTATCACAAGATCAAAACAACTAGCGCAGCGTTTAGCGCACCACACACTGCATGTACTGTATACTACATTTAGTATAGGTGTCCGTATTGTGAAATACTTGACAGCAGAGATCTTAAGTTCAATGCGACCACCGGCTTCTCTCCATCTTAAAGCCCGTGAGGTTAAAACGGGAAGGAGTGGAGCCTGAGTCAGAACAGAGGGAGCGTGTGTCACTGAGTCAGCCAGCTGAGCGTTGTTTACATGTTGACGGCACATGACACGGACCATGTCTTCCTCTCAGTCACAGCAGCAGCTCCTCTCACACATCCAGCTATAGGCTGCATCAATGGGCCGATTGTTGTCTCCGGCTGAGGAACCGGTGGGCCTCGGTCATGAGATGTAGGGTGATGAGAAGAGGACTTCGTGCGTGCACCGGTCTGGTGTTGGGAACAGATCGGTGGTCCGTTGGTATAATAACTATGGATGGAGATGATTTTATGCTCAGTGTTTCCTGTGACTAAGACGATGTGGATTCTATCGGACAAGCTTTCCATCAACCTTATATAATGCAAGTAAACACCTGTGAGGGCCCTCTTTGTCCGGCACAAACAGCACCAGCTTCCCTGTTTGCTGTAAAGCAGCGCAGCAGATTTCTGGCAGTCTGTGTACAGACTTGTTTTTTTTTTAAGCCACAATAGCACTGATGGCCATGTCAACGTGACAGTGTGTGTTTGTTTGTGGTTTGGAGTGAAACGCTTCAACAACCATTCGATGGATTGCCATGAAATTTGGTGCAGACCTTTATGTCCCCCTCAGGATGAACAATAAGGACTTTGATGATCCGCAGACTTTTTTATCTCGTACCATCATCAGACCACAATTTTTATCCTTCCAATTCTTTGGTTTATGATCAGCGAAACTGATACATGCGAAACTAATGATATTCCCATCAGCCATCACTCTGCTTGCTTATTAACAGATGTGAGCTTGTTAAGCCAGACGGACTCAGTACCGGGTCAACCCCTGAGGTGTAGTTACACAATTCACGATTGAAGATGTTGCATGTTATAGTATTTTAACAATAAAGTTGTGCAAATTCAACCTTTTGTAAATAAACAAGCGAGTTGTGTTCAAAAGATCTGGGAACATGTTCTCATCAGGCTACAGTAACATGCTTGGTATCACTGAAAACAAGAAGTTCTGGTCTTTCTAATGCACTTAAACACACCTTAACTCAAAACGTGCAGCATCAGCTATTAACAGGGAAATAAAGCATTCACATTTGACCGTCGCACTGACATGAATCTATGTTGTTGCTAAAGTATTTCAGGCATTTGTTATTTTTGCCCAAAACAAAGGATTCTACTTACTTACATGTCCCCAAACTAAAATGGAGCACATGATGAACCTGCTGAACAATAACATGTTAGCATGCTGATATTAGCATTCAGCTCAAAGCACCACAGTGCGGCCGCACTGAGCTGCCAGCATGGCTGTAGACTCTCAGCCAAGTTTGCTCCTAGTTTGCTGTTGTCGTGGCATTTTGACCATTCTTGGGAACTTAGCTTTGCATGTGTCAGCAAAGTAGCGGGAATAGTGTTGAGTAATCTAGATATAAAACACCCTTTTCTGGCACAATGATCCATAAAGTGTAGAGGATTGTAATAAAACCTATTTCACAACATGTCATCACTGGTTTGTTGTATATTCCTTTTAATCCTCCTCTCTATTGTTGATTTTTGCTAAATCTGCTCTATTTCTATGTTGGTAATTAAACCTTTTTTTGTGTGTGTCCCTACAGATGGCTCCCTCCCTAAAGAGCCAAAAGGAGACGTATCGAGTCAGATCGCAGGTAAAACAAACACAAACAGTGATTCAACATTTTGCAGTTTATTTTCCATCCTCATCATTTCAGTTTTTGTGGTGATGGCGGACAAGGGGTTGGTTTAATATGTAGTCTCACACACACACACACACACACACAAGATTAATATTTCAGTGTTCCCAGTGACAAAGACAGGTCACTGTAATTTCTCACATCTCCCTGACTCCCCCTCCCCGTCTCCATCCCTCCCTCCCCCCCACCATCACATACCATGTTTCCCAGCCTGTGATTGGTTACCTGTGTCTAGCACATCTGTCGCTGGGTCTCTCCAGCAGGCTCTCCATGATGAGTGGAGATGGATGATGTCTGTAGCTTTCTTTCTCTGTCCTTTCCAGCCCTCTTGACTTATTATTTGGTTGTAGATTTGATACCTCCGGTTGCTTCTGCTGTCTCCTCCATTAATGATTATTCCCTCTTCCTAAATTGACCTTTCTTCTGAGTCACACTTGATCTTCCCGTTGTCTATTTATGTAGTATTGACCAAGTCAAAAAAGGATGTTATGATGGTTCGTTCCCGCATATAAGATGGATGATATCTGCTCCTCGATGTTGCTTCCCTCTGATGTGACATTTTGAGGAGACGTGGCCACTTTCATATTGAAGATTATTACTCTCCTGTGCGTCAGTGGGAAGTTTTAATATTTTATGGACTCGGCTTTCTAGTCTGAAAAGGAGACACGCAAAATGATCGACTTTCAGTTGCTTTGGTCTAAAAACTCTCGGCAGTGTCGGGCTTAGAAAATCAAAACCCTCAAACCCTCGCTCTAAAGGAGGGCAGTGAGTTGGCAGGTTGCTCTGGTGCCCGGGGGCCCACGATGGAGACGGCTCTAGCGCCTGTAGAAAAAGGCGATGAAAACAACACAAATGCAATTGCATCTAGACAATACTTGCCTTCATTGTTACTGTTCGGCCTGTCTGTGCAACACTGTCAGGGCAGTGTTTTCCTTAAGCTTCCTGGTGCATGCCAGTGATCACTTCCTGGTTTAGAAAGGACGGGGTGATGGGAGGTAAAGCCTGTCCATCTGTTGGCCTGGCCTCCTCAGCCACTGGTCTGACTGGGTGGCTGAGAAGTGGGTTGCAAGGGGGGGAGGAGGAGGAGGGGTGGGGGGGGGGCAGTGCTGTTATGTAATAATGTTAATGCCTTTGGACCTTGACAGATGTGCCGAAGACTGGAGTGCTTTCCAAGGAGGACTAGTGCACTTCCGTCTCCCTGGTAGTTTGGTCCAAATGAACCGCTTGTGTGAATCTTCAGGAATCGATCTCATTCTACAAGCTAACATTTCATTCGGTAATCTCCTCCAGATGGCTGTCTGTGCCGATTGGGATAGCTGAAGCAGAAAAAGGGGGCTTGTTGTTGATGGTGAACTGCAGCAGGAGTCAACAGCTGAAAACAGCCCGACAGTGTCCGACATACTGTGTGTCGCACTGAATCTCAGCTGGTAACAGAAAGAAGTGTGGAAGTATTTACAACACTAAAAAAGTGTCTGTTTTCCTGTTTCTATCACAATAATATCAGACTTTTAAATATAAACCGTAGTGTTGCAAACGAGGCTTTTTCTCTGTCTCGTCACGGTTTGCCAGAATGACATCATGTGGCATTAAAAGACCCGAACAAATGAACTCTTGGCTCCGATAACAAGCCGTCTTTTCTCTCTCTCTCGCTCCGTCTTTCCTCCCTCCCTCCTGCCTCCCTCCCTTTCCACTCCTCCCCTGCTGTGTTCGGGTCGCTGGGGTAACCCTGGCCTGTTTGTCGCTCGGTTAGCCTACCCTGCTATTAGAGGTCTGGACGGATGGAGAGAACAGAAAGAGGCGGAGGTAAAGGAAAGATGGTGCGCTCTTTCTTTTTTTTTTTTTGCCCAGGCTAAAACTCAGATTTGGGGACAGAATGAGGAAAATGGGGGAGGACGTGGAGATTCTGAGCAGAGTGGACTGGAAACAAACACCCGGGCTGTGCTGTTGAATCGCTCACGCTGAGCTTCTAGATAATGATACCCCGCTTTCAACGCAGCATGAAATCTGTCCTTCACAAATATCTCTTCTCAATAAAATTGCCCCCTTTAGTCCACGCTGTTTCTGTTGGATCGCACCAGACGGCTGGCCGGAGGAGTCATTCCAGTGGTGTCGAGGAAGATTTTACTCATAAGTTTAGAGGTGCCAGTCTGTCATATTTGACTCTAAACGGCCTTAAACTGCCCAAAAGAGCTGCTAGCAGAGCGTTTTAGTGTCTCATAATGCAGCACAGGCTTTCATGCCCCAGTGACTCTGTCTCATGTTAAATAATAAAAGATAATCATGAGACCATTAAAGAGAAAAATAAACGTTCACGTGTAAGGCAAATACATAATCTGTTAAACGTTTTATAAAAAAATGGGAAAATGTTGATAGTGACTTGGCAGCTAAAAATATGGATGCATATTGCTCAATCGCCAGATGTAACAACAGGCCACAATAACACGCTGTTCCTTGTAAACTAGTTACCAGCTTGTTTGTGTGTATACAGTGGCATAGCCCGTGCCAGCTGTACCCACTGCAGGACAGCTGTGTCTTGATCGCAGCAGCCAATCAGATCTGCCCCTTTTTGTTTCAGCGGTGTCCAGCAGGGCAACACCTTCATGTGCCGGCAGCCAATCAGAGCTGCTTTACCGGGACAAGAGGAAGACCGGGGGGGGTCATGACATAAAAGATGGACAAACAAAAGTGACACATGCATGAGTCACATTTATCTGTCAAAGTTTTATTTGGCTGGCTTTACGTTGCCTCTAGGGTGTCGGAAAAGTCTTTAATGACTGGAAAACAAACGTGCTCCACATCTACTGCCAGACACATCTGCAGACAGTAGCACTGCGTTTCTTTGGATCTTGTAAAATACATCCAGTTTTAGCAGTAAGTGACAGTTTTGCTAAATGCCTCCACCCCCCCACCCCGGGGCTGTGATTGTCCAATCAAGGCGGAGTAACAATAACTAGGCTGGAGTTGCACGAAGAGCCATTCTCAGCATTTAAAGAGTTTAGGTGGTTTATTTAGGAATAGGTGAAACAGTATGTTTATCTGCTGTAGCATGAGCCACATCGTTTAGCTTGTCCAGCTCACTAACTCAGTACTTAAAGTAGCAACCAGCATTACTCCAAGTCCAAGGAGCACTTCATTTTATTTTGTGGGGTAGTGAGTGTAGGCGTAAGTTAGCTACAGCTGATCAAATCTGCTCGCGGCAATTTTCCTTTTTGAAAGTAAACAAAAGAAAGAAAACTCGACAGGTGTACATCAGAAACTTAAGCTCAGCACACCGTCCATTGACTGCTGCCCTTTGGGCCATTTTCAGATTTTCACATCATGAATCCATCTCGGAGCGCATGCCGGTGATTATGTTTCATTTTGACCATATAGTACATAGTGATGTCGCTCACAGGGTTGTAATTATAGGGAGGGCAATGACTCAGAAACAACTGTTAGACCACGGGAAAAACAAAACATGAGTAAAATGTTGTGAAATCAATATAAAAATCTAGTTAATTACATTTAATGTTTCCCACAGTGAAAAAGCATGCAACCCAACAAAACCAGACTAGCTAGCAGCATCTATTTATATATTGTTTTATAACCAAGTGATCAGGATTTAAGTCAAGAGGTCCAGGTCATGGACGCCCCAATTCCTGTCCACTCCCTCAGCTTTAAGGAATTCCCCCCCCCACACACACACACACACAGACCCCTCAGCAAAGGAATTTCTGGCAGGCGGTGAATGTGGGAAGTCCACAATTATGCAGGGATGCTCCCACATGTGTCCGGTGTGGGTTTCTCTTGACCCCGTAACAGCTGGTTTAGAACAGACAGCGTCCACGTCAGCTGCTGCGGAGCCATTATGAGATTACGCCTGCATATAACTGCTCCTAAATCAGATTTTTCTTTTTCGCAGTATGTCGGCAACTTTTCCCCCTCCCTCCGCTGACTGACCGTACCACCCGTCCCATCTGTCCCGGTCCGTCCCGGTCCAGGCAGCTGTTGCATTCTGTCCGTCTTTTTTTTGAAGCGCACACACACACAAACACGCACCCCAACCCCTCCCCGAGGTATTTGTCACAGTTTCTCCGGGGCAGTCTTGTAGTGGTTGTTGTTGAGTAAACTGCTTTGTTGTACGAGCCGGCCTAACGCCCAGTTGACCTCTCGGAGGCCCCGGCGAGTCTCAAGCCTCTGAGGTGTGCGCGCTGAGTGTTGACACACGACCCAGTTTACAGTCCTGACCTGAACGATGAACTGACCGCGCTGTAGTAGTTTCCATACGGAGAAGGATTGATGGACATTTCTGGCATTTCCCTCTTTGCCCTTTCTCACTGAGGGGTGCAGCCACAGCAGCGGTGACTGCGTTTCACCGCCGCCCACTTCACACAGGACCAGTGACCCAGGACACATTGGGACTGACGGTCGATTTAGGAAAGGTTGATCTAGTTAATGGTGCGTTTTTGTTGTATGGGATCGATGAACCTGGAAAATACTGTTCACCTCACCTTATGGAGAGTAAATTCTTCGGTTTCTCTGAATTAAGACGTCATGGATAAGGTAATAATAACCCTCTTAGCTGCAACTAATGGCTTATTGATTATGAACAAAATGAGGAATGTCGTGAAATTACATATTCTTGTGTTTCACACAGTTGCCTTCATGACTGTTTGGTAGGTGTAGGTATCGGGAATCGATACTTTTAAGGTATTCATAATAATAATTATACATTTTATTTGTAAAGCGCTTCAAAAGGTATTCAAAAGCATTGTACATGGTAAAAACAGAAACAATAAAAGCAATAACAACATATAGAGAGATTACATTATAACATTAATAAGCAAAACAACAACAACAACATACATAACTAGCATCGCACGGTTAAAAGCAGATTTCAATGCAGCGCGAAGTATAAAACGGTATCTGCGATAGATACTCTTTGTACCCAAATCTAGAGTAAAAACACTGTTTAT